GGAACCGAACTCACGACCTTGCGCTTGCCAGGCAGGCGCTTTGCCGCTGAGCTAAATCCCCAGCCCCTGTCTGTGGTTTATTGAGAGGAACAGTCAATGCTTAAAATTTTCTTTTTTCCTTACCAATTTTGCATGCTTGAATTTGGAAATCAGAATGAGTGACCAGAAAACAACAATATGCAGTAAAAGAACTATTACTGAACTCCTTCCATCTTGTATGGTGAAGCTCTGAATCATTTCCAGTGGGTTTTTTTTATTACATTTTACTGTCTTTGATTGTTTGATCAATCTTATATTCTTATGTCTGGTGGACTGAGCAACATGTTGAAGTTTACAGTGTATAATGTAGCAACCATTGTTAATGCCTATCATTTTGTTTTGAGGTCGCGTACCATTTTTGCTGTTTTTGTGTTCTTTTACTTTGTCTTCACTGCTGTTTTGTTAGTTTTTTAATTTTTAAGATAAAAATATGAGTATTCAGCAATGGCAAAATGTAACAATCTGTAGAATAAAATTCACCCAATTCAAATTCATTATGACAGAAAGATATCACTTCTACAAAGAAACACAATAAATGGCTAACTTAAAACTGAGAACCAAATCTCTGTGCTCTGTCAGGTCTTAGTTTCACTGGCTCTGCTATCTCACCTTAAGTAGAGTAGGAGGAAACACATCCAAACACACCTGAATTCTCATATGCATAGAAAATGCTAGAAATATAGACTCTATCAAAAAATAGCCTGAGAGGGTGGAAAGAAGCACACATGTGAAGAGTGTTGAGTAAGAGCTCTATGCCCACAGCCCCAACATCACCTGAAGGTTCTCTTTTATCTCTTTCTCTTTGAAGCTCTGGGCCAGAGGCACAACCCCACGCTGCACCTGGTATCGAAGGGCAGTCAGGGCTGGAGATCGCTTGTGCTTTTTTGCAATAGCACAAAGGACTGGATCTTCCAACAGAACTGGGGAGCTCTGGTTCACCCTGAAAAGGAAGGCAGACATTCTCAAATCCTAAAGCCAAGTATTTGGTTGATCAGGAGGCTTCCAATACAGATCAAGGTGCTGACCCTAGACCAAGTATCCTTTGATACAGTTCCTGAAGAGGCAGCATCATTACCTTCTGGGATCTTCTCAGAAATGTAAATATACTCTTACCAGCGAGGGAACTATGAAAAGCTGAATATTATAGCACTAAAAACATTTCATCATTTGTAGGCAGCCACTGAAGCTGAAAATTGGTTACACATGAAAGGGACAGATAAGACCAGTGGAGAACAAAGAGTACTTGGGGCAAGCCCTTAGTTGTTGCTAGGCAAGGATGTGTCATATGACACTAACTTTGTCAAATGTATTAAGAAATGCCCCTATAGTGGTTAAGCAATTTCCTTTCCTCCCATTGGAGAGAGAGGGCTCCACCTGACCTCAGCTTTTGTTTCTTTATTTTTCCCATCCTCCATGTCCCAGTCCCCAGCCCAACATCC